TGCGTTAAGTCAAATCGCCACCGGTGGCGATTTCACTTTGAGTGGTGGCGAATCGACTGGATACCACAGGAAGGAAACAACATAAAAATAAAAATATAACAAAAAAAGGAAAGGAAGAAACAACAACAATAAAATAGAGAGAAAGAAAGAGAGAGATTGATTCATGTAAGCTGCTGCACTTACTCAAAAAGGCGTTCGAGCGTGAAAAAAAGGCTATCTTTATTTGAGATTGTTATTCGTAGTTCTAATATCAATAACGGTTCGCGCTTCGCTTTCGTGCAAAGAATAAAATGGCGAGATAACTTGTTTAAGAGGGAGTTATTCCACAAAGCATCAAACTTAAAACTTATACCGACCAATTTGGCTCGAGAGCAAAGCTGTCATTAATGTAGTCTGCGTGTTCACTCTCCTATAGGACAGATAAAAAAGGAATGTTTTCCCAGCTTACTGAACCTTTATCTTGACCTGTTCATCTCTGCACGAGAGATGCTGCAGATAATTAGCTGCATTCACGATAAGCGTGACATCATCTGTTTGTGAGTATTCTATCAGGCCCTGTGGCCACATCCTTAGTTTTCTTCTCTGTCATTAGGGAAAATATCCATCACAAGTGCAAAATCCACTGCACGATAAGCTCTGAAGCTCACCCCTATAAGAAAACAATGGAAGGATGTTAAATTATGCTGTTGTTTTCAAAGTGTTAGACCAATAAAATCTGATCTTGGCTGGGCTAGACTGTGGTGCCATACCAAAAGAATACTTTAGATATGGCATGATGTCAGATCAAATGCTTAAAATTCAAACAACTCAACAAGTTGACAATGTGTCAAATTTATATGGCTTTTGCAAAATTGAGGTTATAGATGACCAAAATGTCTTCACTTAAGTCCAGTGAGCCATTTTACCACCACTTACCCTAGTTATTACAGTATACAATGACCACGGGCCTGTTTCTTAAAAGTCCCAGTAACTTAATAGGTCTTAAAATCAAGCGTTAAAAAATAGAGGAGGTTCTCGTACCTTAAGCAGTCTATTTTAGTTCTGTAGTTACTATAAGTTTTGTTTTATAATTCAAAAAACTTTTGAAACCCCCATCTTGAATGAATACAGAACAGTGTTACTATTCCGCGAAATTACCAGGGCCTTCAAGAAACAGGCCACAGGAATTCATCACAACCTACCCCTCCCGTCCCCCTTCCGTCCCCCTCCCAGCAAATTTGTGTTGATAGTGATATTGGAACTGGGTGTAAGCTGTTTGTAGAGATATTGGAACTAAGCATAAGTAGTGAAATGTTGGTAGAGATATTGGAACTGAGCTTAAGCAGTGTAATGTTTGTTGAGATATTGGAATAAATCTAAATTTGGTAGGAATTAAGTAACAACCACGATTTTCTTTCCTTTTCCTGTAAATATACCGTGTTAGTGGTAAAACGCCTCTATATTCAGTCCTACATTTTTCAAAAGTTTAACTAAATCATAACGTCTTTAAAACACAAACCGTTTTTTACGCCTTAAAACTGTGATACAGAAATGAGCTCTGTACGTAATTATATATAAAATATTTTGATAAGTTTCTGCTTTTCATGGAGTCTCTAAAAGGCTTTTAGAAAAATAAGCTATTTATGGCGTATGATTACAAAACATGCAGATTAAAATATCATCACAAAATATAACAAGGACATTTTGTTTCTCTTTCCTTGCAAAGTTGTTTGTTTATGTTTTTTCAGTTTCTTTTGTTTCCTTTATCTCTTAAATATAATTTTCTATCAACATTGACAAAATTTAGACCCTTTCTTAAAATATATGGCAAGACTTTCAGTAGTGTCAACATCGTTATTCCTCCATTGGGGACAATCTTCGATAAAAAAACACAACTACGACAAACATATTTTTCTGCGTAAACTAAATTATAGTTAAGCTTTGTTGTGATAAAAGTCCATTATTTCTTGTTCAAGATATACAAATAATTTTGCCTTCCACAATTACCCCTGAAATGATAATAACGTTTCCCTTCCAGCTGCTATGCTGTGCATTTGTTAATTTATCATATAAGGGGCAAAATTACTGAATTGTGATTGGTCAAGAAAGAGGGCATTTTTTCTTAATTTTTGTAATTGCCCCGGGCAAAATTACTTGAAAATGATTGGCTGAAAATCGCTTAGCAACGGCTGCCAAGGTAAAGAAATTTCTGTTTGTTTTGTAACAATGGCGTCCCGTTTTGCGCGAGATCAGTAAGAAAAAATTTTGCCCCTTATATTATAAACAAGTAATCCCATGGTTCCTCGTAAAATTAAGGATTAATATCACTTGTATTTTCGGAAGTTGCAGAAATTGCCCTCATCGCTGCGCGACCCGGGCAATTTCAGCAACTTCCGAAAACACGCGTGATATTAATCCTTAATTTTACTCGGCCCCATGCGATTACCTATACAAATTTCTTAAGAGCTTTCCTCGATCCCCCTCTGGCTTGTATTTCGTTTATTCTCATTACCGCTTTCCAGGATAATGTATTAAAGTTGAGAGGAGAATTTACACATCAATCGGCTCTAGAATTTTAAGTAACTAACAACATCACCAAATCCTGTTTGCAAATTACGATCTCCGCATATTTTTTATCTTTTTTTTTAGGTGAGTTTTTTTTTAAGCTTTCATGTTACTTTAGTTGCTTGCGAAATGATTCTTTGTTTCTTACAAGAAGGAAAAAGATTTTCAATTATCCCTACTTATATTTTGCTGATCTCAAAAGGTGTGTCACCGGCAAGCAAATGCTGATTTATCAGTCTGTTCATTTGTATTAGTTGGAAGTCGCTCATAACTAAACAAACACCAAAGAGCACTTTAAACTGACCTTTACTGTTATTTGTAACCTTCCTTGAATCTATCGACCTCGCTGTTTGCTCGAACAACCGAGTTCGAAGGGCGCTTGCTCAAGGCAATCCCTTTCCGCGTGTTGACATCCGCCATTTTGAATAGCCTATTTCTGAATTACCCTTGGCCTTATTTTCAAAACGAGTCTTGGTGCTCATCCTTTCATATGATAATAAGTTTTCATTCACACACAAATTAAACTCATTTTCACAAGAATGGTTGAGCAACAGGCCTTGTTTTGAAAAAGACGTCAAGGGTAATTCGGATATGGGCTATTGTCACCGCTGTACTTTCGGTCCCAAACTCCCATTTCCCGTTTTCCGTTCCCCGTTCTACACTTTCCAGTTTTCAATATCGCCGATCTTAGATCATAGTAACATCCTATGGCTAATACTTTGTCTTTTTCTCTTTCCTTTTTTCACTATTCCCTCTCAGAAAATTTCCCATCATGCGTGCCTTGGCATTGATCGTCATCTTTGGTGTTTCAGCAACTTTTGCTTTCGGTGGTAAGTACAAGCTATAGTATGTCTCTGATCTACATCTCACCTTTATTAGACTTTTTCTCGATTGAGAATATATCGGAAAGATGATCTTCCACGACTGTTCACGATAAAAAGCGTTCTTGCTAATTTTGATAAATAACGAAATCTTCTTTGTCTGATACCGCTGGATTTAACATATCTCTCTCACTCTTTCCAGTTAATATCCGCACAAGGTTTATAGTTTAATTTGGTCATATAACTTTCCATAGTTAAGGAACATTCCCTATGAACACAGAGGTATTTTAGGAAAGAAGCGTCTTTATTAACTTCTTTTTATCATTTTGCAGATGATGAGGACGTGAACCAAAAAAATCCTTGGCGACCTGGAAAGAAAGGTGAGATATATATATATTTTTAATTTAAAATGTTCTTAATTGTATCGTAGCTGATTCTGTTTTGATAACAGTTAATAACAATGACAATAATAAATAATAATAATAATAATAGTGATAATAATAATAATAATAAAATAACCATGATTAAATTAACATACTTATAACAGTAATTCTAATGTTTAAAAATGAGAAAACAATTCAAACCGTGTATTAAACACCACTGGTACCGTACAAAAAGGTTCCTTTCGAATACCTATATACCCAAGACTGTGGAATATTTAACAACTATTCACCGAAGTGGACGTGGCTGGTGGTGGATATTTACCGAGCCTCAAAATGGTTCTTTTAGTTTCTGCTATAACAGTGAGATCATGATAAAGTACAGAAATATGATTCATAATTCACTTATTCCTGCAACGATTACAATATTTTCGGGCGCGAGTCCCATGCAAGTTGATCGGAGGTAATTAACAAAGGATATTAGGAGTTTGTTTGGCCAATTAGAGTGCGCCTTCAACGCTATCCACTGTTTTAGTATTTACTAATGCTTGTTTTCCAAGGAAGTAATTATACCACGCATTACCTTACGGTGAAAACCATTAATAAGTAAAAAAAAACGTAATTATAGCGACACTAATAGTATTGATGATAACAACGACAATAATTTGTAACCCTGGACAGTCTCGGACCTCTGAGCAAATAGCGGTCATCAGGCCATCTTCCCTAAGCGTGTGTCGCAATGTGAATCACTGAAAAAAGATTGATAACATCTTACTTAGAAAAAAACGTTATATTTTGTAGATGAGACATATTGGTTAAGAGATCAACTTCCAGTTCTTGAGAGCGTGAAACGCCAAAAAGGCATGTGGAAACCTGGAAAGAAAGGTGAGATAACTTTTTTTTGTTTAAACTGTTAATGCTGCTATCACTCGTGTCGTTATTATCTTTTTATTTTTAGTGATATTGATATCAGTGTTTTGGTTTGTTTTGTTTCTTGATGCTAGTAATAACGATAATGATAACTGGTGATAACAGAACTCGGACCGGTTTTAACAGAAACACATTAAGAAAAAAATGAAGAAGGAAGCGGAACCGGTTACATAAGTTGGTTGGGTAGAAATTCTCAACATCACTGATGCACTACAAACAAAATTGCCATTGGATATCTAGATACCCCAGGCTATCTAGATATCGTTAAAATAAAATCATGATAAAGATAGTTATGGTGATAACAACAAAAACTTTTAACCAGAAGTCGTCTCAGGTCCTATTTAACAATTGGTTCATGCTTTAGCGCGCACTATCGAGTTATGGAGCACGTGGGAAGTTTGGAGTGCACGAAAGAAGCGTAAGAGTTGCCCGAGGCAATAGCCGAGGGCAACTCTAGCTTCTTGAGTGCTCTCCAAACTTCCCACGTGCTCCATAACTCGATAGTGCAAGCTAAAAGCATGAACCAATTGTTTTAGAACATAGCCGGTGGAATTGTGCATCAAATCCGACGCGAAAAACGGACAACAATATCAATTGAAGCGAATCGTGACGGCGCTGATACCGAGTCTCCTTCTGTCGTTTTTCTCTTTTTCTGCCTTTAATAATTCTAGCCCAAGGAAAAAGGTCGAGAAATCGTCTTCGTTTTGGGACTAGTGGGCCGAGTCTCTGTTTGTATCCATTATTGTCGCGAAATATATTATTTTTTCCCGGGCTAACAATGGCCGCTCGCGCGAAAAAAAAATTTCTGGCAAAGCGATTTGCTTAAGCTATCAGCGTGCACAATCGGGATTTTGAGCACGCTTACGTATATTGAATTCGATTGCGCGGCTCGGCTAGCTATGTTCTAAAAGTACATAACGGTCACGGGCCGCCTTTACTTAGCGAAGATCGCAATCTAAATAGCAGAACAAAGACTCATAACGTATTCCTTCAAAACAAGCATTATATTTTGCAGATGAGACACATTTGTTAGGAAATCAACTTAACGATCTACAAGGTGATTAAGATGTCTTGCATGCATTTACGTTGGTTAATTGCACAAGTGTATGAACAATTTTTAGTCACTGTCTTTGATATCAAAGCTTTTCGAAGCCCCAAACACATGGCGCCGGAAAATCTTTACAACGCAACTCTCTTTCTACATTTGGGCCCTACATTTCACACTCATGTCTATAGATTGTCTGTCTCTCCCACCTCATTCTACAAATGGTTTTTATCATTATTATTATTATTATTATTATTATTATCATTTTTTTTTATCATAAATCCTGTTTGACCTGATGGGAATTCTGAGGCATCGGAATTTCCTTGTAATATAGGAAGTGGCGTCAGAATCGCTACCTTGGTAAATTGGTTAATGAGAAGTGCTGGAACTTTGAAAAAGGCGAGCGCAAGGGAGGAGGACTGGGGTGGAGAATGGAGAAAGAGGGAGCTGACAAAACGAGAATGTCCAAGAGACGCTATAGGTCTCCATACGTACGGTTCTTGTGGGGGAGGGGGGAGAAACACTAGTTACATTGGTTCCTCTCTAGAATACTTCCTCAAAAAAGGAAAATTTTTTAAAAGGCGGGGATTTATAAAAGGAAATATTGTTAAAGTTTAGCTTTGTTGTTCATTGTCAACGTTTGTCTTTGTTTTTATGGTTTTGTAGCTCCTGAGACCGTAAAACGTCAACATACTGTTTGGAAACCTGGAAAGAAAGGTGAGACGACTCTTTTTATTCAAAATGTTATGACAATAATAGTAATGATAATAACAAAAAATAATTTTTAACAAAGGGCAGTCTCGGACCTCTGAACTCATAACAGTCATCGGCCGCCTTCACTCTGTTAGTGTGCATCACAATGTCAATAGCAGAAAAAAAGATTCATTACGTGTTCCTTCAAACAAACATTATATTTTGCAGATGAGACACACTGGTTAGGAAATCACAATGCCCAAGGTAATTCTGATATCTTTCTTGCTTTTGTTATCAACACTCTTCCCCAGGCCCCAACCACATTACGCTGGAGAATCTTTACAACGCATCACCCTTTCTACAGTGGGGTCCTACTGCTCTCACTTCTGCGATTAGATTGTCTATCAAAAAAGGCGCACTTGGAAATCTTTTCTCCAAAACTTTCTTTCGACCGTCTATGTAAACTCCGACCGAAAAGAAGGGAGAGCATTTGAGAATACTCACGCCAGTGCAAATTTTTTCACCTTGTGTGATTTTTTTCCTGTTTGACCGTCTTCTTTTTAACAAAACATAGAATTTAGAAATGACCTCACTGGGAAAGGTAATCCCTCCGGGTTAAAAGAAATATTTTCAGTCATACCCTTATAAAAAGGTATAGATTCAGATATTATGCTTTCCATTCCAATCCCTCCTTTCAGGTAAGCAAAAACACTAGTTCAGTTTCACGGATTGTAAATTGGTTAGTATTCAGGGTTTTTTCTGTCTCTTTTGTGTGATTTAGCTTCTACAGGATCCATGCAAATTCTAAATGACGGGTAAGTTTGCCTACATATACGAAAAAAAACAAAAGCTCCACACCCCATTCTCTATTGAGTAACGCCCTGTCAAGATAATGAAGTTTCTGATAGGCATCCCCTCCCTCTACAATGAGCCCACCCT